TATGCTGTGTGACGTGGCCGTGAGATAGGTTTACTATAGGTTTGATTCCGGCTGAAGCAATAATTGTATTATCGTAGTAAGTGAAGAACACATTTTCCAATAAAGGTGTTCCTTTTTCGTATTGATTTAATTATTCCTATTCTATTGATCTTATTTCCAAAGGAGATTAAATTAAGCAGCTATAATATTTTTTTATAATAATTTATATAATTTTTTAATTGGTACACTTACCAAGAGGAAGTTTTTAATTGAGTACGGACTTTTCTGCGACTCTTTCACAGAATACTTTCACAGGTCTTTTATGCCTTCAGATATTTTATCACCAGAAGTTGAATATAACACCGTCAAGTCAAGGTGTTCAGTGAAACCATTCCCTTTGTATAAGAACATATCGTTTATAGTATCAAATTCGCGTTAATATCACTTTATAAACATACAACGGCCTGAAGCTAAAAGATCCTTTAAACCCATCAATTATAGGGAGAAATTTTCAACATGGGGATTAATCTGCCCTCTGTAATAGCCCGGTCTGCTCCAACGCGATGAGGGCGGTCATAATATCATTTACTCGCGAAAATTACAATTCTGAACCATCTGTGTAATATACCTTTACTAAAATGTTCTGTTAATTAAAATATAGGCGTGTACTGTGATTCTCATAACTTACTGTTACTACTCGTTACTACTGGTAGTACTGTCAAAAAATGTATTACAAAGAAAATACAGATTTACATGTTATACCTACTCAAAAGTTAGGGATTAAAAAGAGTGGCGGAAAGTTTCTTGCCAGTTCTTCTTGCCCGCTCTACGCCCTTGACTTGAGAACTGGTAGTTATAGTAACTTTACAATTAATTTAACTTCTTTTTTGACGTTCATAAGTGTACTTGTTAACCTATATGAATAAAGATTGAGTTTGAGTTTATAGTTGAAGGTTATAGCGTCTATAACTAAAGGGGTTAGGTTTGAAGTAATAATTAGTATCAATATTGTCACAGGCTACCAGCTGGTAGTATTTTTATCTTTATCGTGTATGTGTTAAGAAGTCGGGTCTTACCATGTACATCCTGTATTTCAAATAGAATACTTTTTGACTAACGGAAGTCATACGTAGCGCTATGAATGTAAGCTACGAAGCTACGACGTAGTGGCTACGCTACGCAAAATACACTGCGTTAATGTGCTACGCCACGTGCTGTGGTTCTAGAATGTGAGCATCTATTTTTGTTGTGTATATTTGCTGGTATTAATGAATTCTCCCCAAGACTTTCTTAACGAAATATTCATAACCTGTCATATCGTCATAGATAAAGTATTGATGAACGGGCACTACGTGAATCTAGGGACGCTTACAATCTTCGCATTACAATTCTGCGTAACAACACACTTGTATGTAAAAACAATTGTCTTATGACATTTAGTATGATATGTTAGTTTCAAGCTCCTCTTCATAATACGATCAACCTTTAAATCTTTGTTCTTTTTCTCACTAAAGTGCGTGCTCCAACTACGATATACCCGCTAACGTTTTTTGTTATTATTCTTCTTCCACGCCATTTGGACTAAGATGGTTGCAGCTCTTTACTGTAAAATTAAGTAGCAGGGGATTAAATCTTCTACCGTTATGGTGTGTGTAACTAGGAGTAAATTTAAAGTTATTTAATTATTATTCTATAAGTTGCCTACATGAATTTTGACTTTGAAAAATATCTTTTAATGCACAACTTCGAACCTATAGCCACTGTGTTAGTAGGTTAACCACTTGGCTAACTCAGTAATATTCATGTAGTTGAATTGTAACATTGAAAGAAATAAAATGTACCGCTAATGCTCTTTTTTAAAATGCATGCAACAGTTTTATGAAACTAAAATCGTGACCGCGACCGCACCGTAATTAAGTACGAACTAGAACGGAATAACGTCAGACCGCATTGACGCTTCATTCATTGGATGAACTAAAATCAGAATATTAGTTAGTAAATTTAAATGACAATTTTTTATATTAATGTATAACTAGCGAAGCTGGGTCAAGCATTGGCTTCGCACGGTTGGATATATTTAGGAAATAAATTAGGCATTTAGCATCTAACGACGAAATAATTTTAGAAATTGGTCCACTACTTTTGAGATTCCGTATACAAAACTCTCCTCTTTATAGCATTAGTCTGTAAAAAGAAGTGGCGCTACAGCCTTTCAGGTCTGCTACAGATATTGTGCCTGTTTCGTAACCCTTCTGTGCCAACACACGACCTAAAGTATGCCAGTTCCCTGAGAATTTCTTCACGCATATAGACAGAACGTACATTGATGCACAGCCAGGAATCCAACCTACAACCTCAGAGATCAGAGCCGCCTGCAGAAACCACTAGACCAACACTGATCGCCTTTATACAATTTCTTCCACTGAAAGGTAGCGTTAAAATATGCTAAGTATACAATATAAGTGTATGAATTTTCACGCGAAATATTATGATAGCATTCCTGAAGTTGGAATATTCGTGGCGTCAGTAATTCCATGGCTCGCTGCCTCATTACACTGTTTAATTGGTTTTGTTTATTATTGTTTAGTTCGTTTGCATACAAACCATGATTTCAAATATCAATATTAGTTTATGGTATGAAAATAGTACATAGGTTGTTGTATTATCGTATGGAAAGCTAACATTAACTATAGTTAATCGTAACGTTTTCGCCCGGGGTCTAACCTAACTAGAAAATAACTGTCAAAGGTATTGTAGTTGGTGTACGAATGGCCAGTGTTAGTATAGTGATTAAGCAAATGATTCTAAACCCGAAGGCTGTGGATTCAAATGGGAAGACTTGTACGAAATGGTAGGCAACGAGCGACACAACCCGATCTTTGTTCCATATTTAAACTTGACAGATAAATTTTTAAGACAATAATTTTGAACATCGAATTGTTTGGTATAAATAGTAAATAATAATTTTATCCTCTAAACAAATACCTTCAACGTCAGTAACTTTTATGTTGAAAACCCTAAAAAAGCAGGTCGTTTCTCGCAGATTTTTCATCTTGTATTACGTTTGAGGCTTCTCGGCTCAGTTTACTTCTTTTATCATTGCTCGAGGAAAAATGTGTCCTTAGGAAATTTAATATAACTGATATCCTTTATTAAGAAAATGACTAAGGAAAATATAAGTAATTGAAGGAGTCTCAAAGTCGTTTCAATGATTTCAAATTCTCTTTCCTTCGGGGTATTTTATAACATAAAAAATATGCCACTGATCTATATAATAAATCTGCCAAAATCACATTTAAATATCAATCAAAATCGAATTATCGTGATGTAAAGGAACACGAAAAATTATTTTATAAATGTCTGTCTATATTAAAAGTTCAAAAAAATAAAAAATGTTCAAGTTTATCAGTATATTTAACTTGCTGGCACAAGTCAATAATTAATCAAAGTCATAATCATTTATTCATTTAGGTAACACAATGTATATTGTATACTTATGAACGTCAATAAAAAATACATATTAAATGCTAAATGCTTCTATTTTTACATTTACTACCAGTTCTGGTTCTGCAAATCAAGGGCGTAGAGCGGACGAAATATATATTTATACCTGTAGATCTCTTATAACGGTTACTATATACTCTCGACAGCGATGTATAACAAACTTTTAAAAGTTATTTCTCTAAAATCGAATCAAGGACCCCAATGCAAGTAAATAATATTTCTATGATCCATTTCTACTTAAATCGCAAATATGAGAAATCACTTACAAAACATAATATTCCCTTTCAGAGAAGCCTTGAGCAATACATCGGTCAAATAAACATCAACATACGGGAAATAGCTTTTAGTTGTAGCCGTTATGTGTACTTTAATTTACATATTACAAGGTCTATTTTCTTATGTATTTGTACATTTATATTTTTTGTCAGGGCTATGACAGTGACTCTGATTTTGAGAACGTAGGTTCCATGTTATGTACTAATAGACTTTCTATGTGCGCATATTATAATTTTTTCATACGATAAAGCATCGTGAGGTAGCAATTTTTTAATTACCGCGTTTAAATTCGAATACAACCTTCTTCCATTCTTAATGTATAATTTAAATTACGAAAATTAAATGAATTTTTATGGTGTCCATAGCTAAATTGTGCTGAAATGTTTTCTGTTTTTATTCAATTCCCCATGAAAGAAATATTGTTGTAAAGTAAGTTCGCTAACCGAATCCTCTTAGATGAGGCCATAAAACATAAAGAAAGTGTTATTTATTATCTGAAACTGTAATCCAGTGGCGCCATCTATCACCGAGGGCTATTCCCTTAGCTATTATCGCGGAAAATGACGTCGTCGTTTGTTTAACACCAAGAAAACAAGTTCTGATTTGTGAGGTTCGGTACAATACGGATAAAATAAAAGTAAACGCGCCTAAGCACATACAATGGCTTGTGCGGTCATTCTTCTCTGCCGGGTTATATCGACCCAAGAAGTTAAGGCAAATATTTGCATTTCGTTATATTGAAATATTTAGACGGATTTAGTTGTAATACTTTACCCTTGCCCTGAAATGTTATATGTTTTTTTTTTGATGTTAAAGAGGATTTAAGTCGAATATTCAAAACTATGTAGTATATGTGCGTACAAATCATGTCACGGTACAGAAATGTTTCATGAATTACATTTGAAAGGTTTTATCCTTAGTAAAATTTATAGGTTTGCAAAATTATATGATAAAATAACTATTATTATTAACATGGTTCTCTGGCCTCAGCTAAGAGTACACAGTACCGATAATTTCTTTTCTTGGTTCAAATAGTTCTTTTATAGTTTTTACACTGTTTATTGTATTTACTGGATTTCGCTGGTCGTGTCCTCATGTTTTAGGGATAGCACCGCTTTTTATATTTTTATGTATGTCAATTTATATCATGTGTTTGTCCTAATTTTGTGGTCCAAATAAAAAAAAATTACGAATAATAAATACAAATTTGTCTATTCCTAGTTGGTAAATGCTTTAAATACTTACCTAAAGGTGATTGTTGTTAGCGGCCTGTATGATTTATGGCTATGTGGATCAGACATCGGTGTACCCCAGAAGTCATCTTTGAATATCCGTATCACCGAATTGGCGCCGTTGACGTCCCCATTAGACACGATAGCTGGGATATCATCATGGACGAATTCGCCATTCAGACTGTTTGAGTAGGTCAAAGCGCCGACCGAAGCAACCAGAGCGTACGTCACCCACTCATTTTCACACACACTCCTCCATGATTTGGCAGCCGCTTCCTCGCGCACAGATGGTAGCGGTCGACGTCGCATTTTACTCGATTCACATGTTTACGCTTCAATAACTTATACTAATGTACGTCTTATGATATGTTAAGCGTGTAGAGATCTCATAGTCCGTTTATCAGGGGTGATGGATCACCGGGATATAAATCAACATAGTGGGTCAGCCGACCGCTAATGTCGTATTCATGAGCCGTAAGCTCGGCTTTCAAAAGATTTTCCTTTGTCGTTCTCGGCTTCTTAACTTCGCCTTGTATCAATAATGCGAGCTGAAACAAAGAAATTGTATTTTATTTATTTATTTATATATATATTTATGTATATTATATAATTAGCTTAAGTATGATGTATGGAGTCTGTACGGTTCCTGGATCATCAGGGGTTCGAAATAATAGAATAATTTTAACTTACTCTATATTTATCACTCGCGTTATACAATAGAATATGAGCGAAATAATAACTATTATGTTAATTGCTATATAATAAGTGCAATCTAACAAACAGAGAGAGTGCCTACGTCTGGCTATGCTCCCGGGGTGAAACTCCCATGATACAGTTAATTGTAATGATACGAATGACTGCTGTAACAGTCGAAGAGAGTGCCTGCGTTGGGCTATAGGGTAGGGCGGGGCTAGTTGAGCAATTTTTCACTTGCTTGGATATAGCTCCTCAATGATAAGTCTCAATGAGTTGTTATGTGTCCTGATGGATTAGTAATTTATCCCTTAACAAAAGTGTCCATAGTATTTTTTTGTAACAAGTCCAATATAATAGCTACAGATGTTTAAATGCAGAAAGTCAAGTATGCTCAATGTACCCCATAGGTGGGGTAAGTTGAGCAAGGGTATGGGGCAAGTTGAGCACTAAGAATGTCTAGGCCAAACAATGGTTCTATGTTAACTTGAGATGAAATAAAATATGTGTTAGACAGTCAGCTTTTTATTTATAGTCTTTTATTGACAGAACAACATAATTTAAAGAAATTTTCTTTGTATAATTAACCGAAACTAGAATCAACAAAACATGAGCATCCATATCTATCCATTACTTCCGATAATTTCTAAAAAAAGATTACCAAGGCTGGTGGGTTCTGGTTTCTGTATGGATAGCTACGATTTTTTTGTTTTTAAAACATCATCAACCATTCTTTTCCGGAAATCTTTTTTGCAATTCAGCTTGGTGGAATTTCAGCACATTCTTAGGCAAGGCGACGGACGTCTTTTGGAGAAAAATGCCATTTGCAGCAAGAATTTTTTCAACAGTTCTCTTGTGAGAGAGGATATACTTCCCTCGGTGTTGTATAGCCCACAAATCATCACCTTCATTTAATTTATTTAAAAGTCAACCAATACCGAATTCTTTAGCGGCGGTATTCACACTTTTTCCCTCATCGTGGACAGCCTTTGCAGCATTATTTAAGTATTCAGTAGTGTAAGAACATCTTGTAGTCTTCCTCTTGTAAGTCCGCATCCAAACAAAAAATAAAATATTCATTACTCATCAGTTGTTTAAGTCGTCGAGTTAGTTGAGCTATAGTTGCTCAACTTACCCCAACCCGGAATTTTAAAAGAAAAGTAGGATTGTAAATAAATGCCTAGAATTAGACCCAAAACCTATTTACAAATCAAAAATACAATAATCTTCTGAAAGATTAACACTCTCCTGATTGAAAACAGAGAACATTTGACAAAGACAGACGAAAACTTGCGATAAACAATGTTTTTACTTTTTGGTCACAAAATAAACAAAACGCCGTGACACTTCACTCACTCGTCGAGCTGCCACTAGCTTTCGTGCGATGATTACCTCTCCTACCACTCCTTCTTTTCGCTATTTGATACTCCCGCGTAAGGTGAATAGTTTCCGAGATATTTCGATTGCCCAACTTGCCCCTATGCTCAACTAGCCCCGCTCTACCCTACTCTCGGGGCGTGACTCCGACGATTTAAGAAATCGTCATGCTTATAAGTGATCAAACTGTACAGCCAGGGCACGTACTTACATAATAAAAACATCACGCTTGTAGATGATTGGAATGCACGAGCCCTGGCACGTACTTACATAATAAAAACATCACGCTTGTGGATGATTGGAATGTACGAGCCCTGGCACGTACTTACATAGGGAATAATTAAGCTTATAAAACTAAGGAAGCCTGAGCGAGTAAAATGTACAGCCTTGGCTCGTACAGAGTCCGTAAGTGCATGTCAGTATAATTGATTACTTTTCTTTGTACAATAGATTTTTATTCCAGATTCTTTTACACATAAACACATTTATAATGTATTGTCTTTTATTGACATAACTTTCACATATTTAATAATAAAACAATTTTTTACCGGATTGAAGTTTAAATTATTTTTCATAATTTAAATTGACTACTGTATATCGGAGTTGGTCGATACCAACTCCGGGAAAATAAATACAGATAATACAACTTTGTCTACAGCTGTGATACTTTTTGACATTCAACACCTTTTGTCTTCAGTCACCATGACCACGCACGCGAAATCTCGGTTAAATTTAAAATTATGAAAAATAATTGTAAATACATAACTTCAATCCAGTAAAAAATTGTTTTTTATTGCACATTTATATTTCTTTAATCTCATTCTTATTAAATATCTATTCCTATTTTGGCAAAGGCCTTCCTTGTAATCATGACTAAATATAATAAACGTCGATACTTGGGTTCAAGATATGATGTTTTCGTCACGATATTTTCAATCACATTATCAAATGTTAATTATGCATAATATGAAGAAAATTTAATTGGTACGCAACCGCAATTGAATAACTTCAAGGTCCTAGGCGTAACTACTAGGCTCACACTTAAGAAGAATATCATAAGAGATGTTATTTCTATTTATACATGACTCGCTGTTGCCGAGTTGGTGTGGAAACGGGTAAACATATTCTCTACGCTGAAATCTCAAACATAGGAGCAATTGTGCTTCCTATTTATTTAGAAGAAATCAAAAAGCTATCAGTAATTCCGGAGATGCCTATAAACTCAAAAGATTTACTTATACTATAGACATGATTCTCAAATAAATTATACTAACTTTGAACTTTCATAATTAACAAATCAAACATGAGATTTAAATATCGTTTTGAATCTTTAACGTTATTTTTGTAGTAATTAAACAATTATTCATTCGTATTGACAATAGTTTTTAATAATATATTCTTCGACGAGTTCTTCGTAACCTGTTATGCTTAAATCATATGTTACTATAGACATCTTTACCATCAACAGGTGTACAGTATTAGTCCTGGATAATTTATTGATAATACATTTTGTGTAAGGTTTTACAAGGATTCGTTTACTTGTAGGTAAAATTAAATTTCCTTCTAAATTTAATCAAACGTACAACGGTAGGCGTCAATGGAAGGCCCCCCATTTCGCGTCGCATCTGAAATGCTAATGTAACGTCCTAATTCTCTTAACTACTTCACGAATTAAGACCTCATCGTTTAATTAGGTTTGCCAACGCTGATGACATAAAACTATTTAAAGCTTATACTAATATAAAAGATGTATTAACGCGTATAAAAATTTATAAAAAATCAGCGTTATAGCTGCTGAGAGAAATATATCGAAATTTCATATAAAAGCGTCGCTCCGGTTTAGCCTTTGGAAGTTATAGAATACCGACACTAATATCTAACATTACGAAGTTTAAGATACCTACTTTTAAATTTGTAATGACAGCCTTCTTAGCTTGGTCTTTTAACCGGAGTTTTGGGTTCGATTTCTGTGTCAATAATCGTTTCTAATAGGCATACAAAAAATTAACGTAGAAATGTTAAACTATATAAGTTAATATATATTATAATAACGATGTTAATCTAAACAATTTACTACGCGTTTCGTAACGATTCATCTTGTTTAGAAGTGAGCTTCAGATAATTTGACATTTTCCACATTAGTGGCGTCGTTTTGACACATATCTTATTCATCATATTTTCACGATGCGGCCTCGCAAATAATTTATCATATCTTGTCATAATAAAACCTGTTTTAAGGAGTATTCTAAATGTTTATCATAATAAAGCTATTCATTAACATTAATTAAAAGGCAATGTGTACTTAAAAATTCTAGTGTTTAAGTATCTTTGTGATTATTAGGTTTGTCTAATGGGGTAAGTGGTGATCATCTTTATGTGCCAGACGTACGCCGTCAATTATTTGAATCTAAGGCATGCTGGTTTTCCCACGATGTTTTCCTTCACCGTACCAGCGAGTGTTAAATGCGTACACAGAAAAGGCAATGGTGTACCACGGGGGTTCAAACCTACGACCTCAAGGGTGAAAGTCTCTCAAGCCACTAGGCCAACACTGCTCATGTCTTAAGTGAATTATAATTAATTAATAAGAAGAACCATTATAGGCATGTCAGTTGTTTTCCAGCTCATCAGTCGTATGTGCTTGGCATACTTTAGTATGCTAAACACATAAGACGGTAAATTGCGCGTATAGAACGTTTCTGACACCACACACATACCGTTGTCTCGTTTCTTATTAACCTAAGTGTCGCATCTGATAGAGCTTCCTGCCATTGGTCTTTGACTCTTACAATCGTTATAAATAATTAAAATTATTTATACTAGTTGAAGTTTAATAGACTTTATTGGTGTTATGGTACAGATAAAATACGCAAAAATTGTTAGAACAATATTTTTGTGAATTCAAGTTTAAATCTGCAGCAATCCATTTTACTTCACTTTCTGTTATATAAATGTTAACAAGATCCAACGAAGTGAGAATTTTTTGCAGTTGATGAGAAAACTTGAAACCTCCCGGGAACCGGCTAAGCTTGATGTATGTTTATGGATTTACGAGTTTTAATCTGATGCAAGTTTATTTTTATGTTCACGCATATGCTCTAGCTGATAGTAGCTTGGAAATTGTGGGCTTTCCACACAACACTTTTATGTGGTTAGGTTATGTTTAAGGCCAGATTTTAATTCACAAACAAAAGAATAAAAGGAGTGGGGGCCTACATTGAGCTTTAAAGCCTTAAAAA